ATTCTCCCTCTTGGACAATCCACATGATCCAAACCCCAATTAATGGTCAACGTATTTTATCATGTCATTGACCAACATTCATACTTTTCACCTCTATTCTCTTGAACAAGTGTTGTCTGATGTAACTCTAAATAGACTGTAAATCTGGCTGTGTCTTTTCAAAATATGACTTTCAATAAAATTTTGTTAAATGACTTTATGACAAAGACAATTTTTTAACTGCAAAAAACTTCCCCAAAAATATAGATCACCTGATAGAGCTCACTGTGTCTTGTCAGAAAGCAGATTCTCACTTAGTAAGCGAGACTGGGACTGTGATTTCAATTGTACCAATCACCTTGTCAGTGACAACGATGATGCTGATGAATTCTGAACAAATTTTGAGCAGCTTGGTATTTTCACAGTAAGATCCGATATTCACCATTCATTTTTCTCCCATGAAGAACGTGTTTTCATTTCATTGTCAAATGATTATTCTGTATTTACTGCAATACCTAGTCTCTGTTTCCAATGTGCTCATGTTGTTTGCTTCTATGAACCATCTTGCTGATGGCAGTTGGGGGCTCACCCTAGAGTGTTCAGGGAGCTACACCCTGACTGCAGTTATTCTGGTATAGGAAATAGCAGTTTCCTGTGCTGCCTGTTGTCAAGCCCTCACCTCACAGAGAAACACATTTCCAGATCTTCATGCCTCTGTGATTGTCCTGGGAGGGGGTTTAGTGATGGGCCCCTATAAGACTGAGACAGGATGGGGGGAGCCACTGTGTCCCAGCAGCTCCTAAGGACTGACATGTACAGAGGAGAGAACAGGGGGCCCTGGTGAGCTCATCCTGGAGGCTGAGGGCAGCATCAGCCCCACTCCTGGACTTGCAGAAAAGGTCTGAGACCCGCGAGGTAAGCCAGCCTGCATGGCTGTGACAGGGGAGCTCAGACTTCTTGGGGACAAGAAGCTCACTCATTTCCACCATCTGTATCTCTAGTCTCACAGTCCTTCACATATGAAAAGATCGAGTTTACATTCAATGTGCCTGTTCTGAGAAACAGAACCCTACCTGGACTGCCTGGATGTGCTTCTCCCCTGCTGTAGAGCCGGAAGAGCGATTGCCAGTTTCCTGAGGATGAACATCTCTGTGTGAGCTAAATAACATAGGATCTGCCTGTGGGTGCGAGTGGGGCAGAAGTGGTGGAGACTGAGCGTTCCCAGGTGCCTCTTGCCCGTCACCAAGACTTTTTAGCCATCTGCAAAGCATTGCTGCTTCTGCCGTAGTCTCTCAGCTGATGGGGCACCAGGAGGAGCAGCTGGGCTGTCAGGCCTCAGGCATCTGCTCCCTGGGTGGTTTTTGTTCAGGCCTGTGTCACTGTGGGAAGTTTACTGTAACCCTGATAACAGTGGTGGCATCCTCAGGCTCCAGGCTGCTGACGGTGAGCGGGTCCCAGACCCGCTGCCGCTGAAGCGGGCTGGGATGCCATTGGGCTTCTTGGATGCCTCATAGATGAGGAGCCTGGGAGCCTGCCCAGGTTTTTGTTGGAACCAGTGTAAGTACTTATTAACAGTCTGACTGGCCCTGCAGGAGATCGTGGCCTTTTCTCCTGGAGACAATGATAGGAAAACTGGATACTGTGTAAGTACATTTTCTCCAGTGGTGCCTGAAATTGGAAAAAAACATATAAGTCACCTTTGTAATCTCTGTACTCACCACTGTCTTCCCAGCACAGCCAGGAAGGCTGATCAGCAGTGATATCTACTTATTGTCTCGCAGAGCAATGAGCCAGGTCCTGGGAATCCACTGCCCAAAGTGTCCTCTGAAGGCAGCACCCTCCCGGGTCCCCTCACCTGGGAGCCAGAGCAGCAGGAGGCAGAGAAGCTGCGCTGGGGCTTCCATGGTGCCTGTGTCCTGGCTGAGGCAGCTCTTGCCCAGAGCCTGCCCAGCCTGATATGGGCCCTGGCAGCAGGGGGCTGGGGCACGCAAAGCAGGGGTGGGCACCCTGGTCTCCAGCTGCAGAGACCAGAGGCCTCATGTTCTCTGCACTTGAGCAGCCACACGCACGTTACAACCCAGAACACAGGGGGTGTCTGCTCCAGGCCTGGCAAAACAAAAGCCTTTGTCCAGTCTCACTGTCTCACTGCCTCGGTCCATGACTGAGTGGTTGCAGCGAAGACTTTATCAGCAATGATCTCCCTGACAGCCCTTTCTTGTGCATCAGTGACCTTTTCATTCTTTGTGGGATCCACAAAGACACAAACATGGAGTGAGGCCCGGTGACATGGGTGCTGAGACAATCACCATCAGGCAGATGAGCTGAACCCGGCTCTGACCCCAGTGTACTGACACCTTCTCTCTGAGGACAGGGGTGCAGCTCAGAGCTGGGAGGCTTTCTGCTGGGCTCCCCTGTAGTCTCCCCACCCCCATTCATCAGGGGTGCTCTGTCCTCCAGACCTGGCTCCCTGTTCTCTAACAATTGGTGAGGTAGTTTCATGTTCTTTGACTCATTTTAAAAATGGTTGCTTGTTTTCCTAACGTTGAGGTTTCAATCATTCATTTACTTGAGTCAGTGTTTCATTAGATGCGTCTTTTCCAAGTATTCTCTTCCTGTACGAGACTCATCTTCTAATTCATTTTACGTAGTATTTGCAGAGTAAAAGTTTTAACTCAAAGGAAAATTAGCATTTATTCCTTTTAGATTAATGCTTTTGCTATATATCTAAAATGGCATATCCTTACTCCTATGTCATATTTTCTAGGAATTTTGTGACATGTTTCAATTTAATTAAGATCTTTACCCCATTGAACGGCTTGAGCTTTAGCGTGTGTCTGCATCCTACGTTGCTCCCACCACCCTCCGCCTCTCTTCTCTTCTTCCTTTGCTCCTTTCTGCCCCTGCACGTGCCCTGGTGGTCCAGCACCATTTGCTGAGAGATGGGCTTTTCTCCACTGTGCTCCTTTGTTCAGGATCAAACCATCTGTGTTCGTATTTACTACTTTGGAGTTCTTTGTTCTGATCCATTCATTTGCCTGTCATTTCCTGAGCACCGTGCTGATTTGATCACTGTAGCATTTCAGTAAGTGTTGAAATCAGCATAGTTTGGACATGTTATTCATGATGGTCATCCCTCATGTTTCAAAAACCCTTTTAATGTACAAAATAATTTGTCATGTAACTGGCAAATACGTTTTCATCTTCTATTATTTTGAAAAGTCTTGTCCGATTTAATTTTGTGTTAATTAGAAAGTAAATCTCAGTGTATCTCTTCACATGGACTTCAAATAAAATTTTTTTAAACAATATCATTGACGAAGGTAATTTTTTAGTTGTAGTAAACACCGCCCCACCCCCAAATTAAGCCAGATAACTGACGTCTTGAGCAATCACCTCTCAGTGAGGCCGGCTACAGCCCGCCTGCCGGTTCACAGCTGGACCAATGACCTATCAGTGACGATGGTGATCACGACCATCCAGAGCAAATGTTGAGCAGCAAAGTGTTTTCACATTGACGTAAAATGATGTGCCATCCATATTTTCATCTCACATTCTGCACAGAAAGTTTTCATCCCATTGTCCCATGACCACCCTCTATTTCATGCAATTCCCAGTTTTCTGTGTAGCTAGTTCCCACTGCTGTTGCTCACTGTGCCCAGGGCTGTTGCAGCGGGGCACTGACCGGTGAGCTCTGGGGTCTGCAATGCACTCTCTCTGCAAGTTTACTTTCCATAGGAACAGTGGCCCGCATCTCTCCACTGTCCAGCCTTCATATGGAGAGATGCGGGCCACTGTTCCTATGGAAGGACATTCCCTCTTCAGACCTGTGCAGTGGGTCCTTGTTGGGCCCCAGGAGACTCAGTCGGGAAAGGAGGAGCCACTGTGCCCCAGGGACTCATGGAGGCAGACACAGAGCTTGGGGGAGGCCGGGGGTCCCCTGGGAGGTGCTGCAGCAGCTGTAAGCATCAGCTCCTGCCCTCGGGCTTCATGGAGGCCTGAGGCCCGCAGTAAGGCAGCCTGTGTCTCAGCAACAGAAGTACTCTGACTTCTGGGGGGACAACAAGACCCCCTATCCTATCATATGATACCCCTAGTCTCACACTCCTGAGACTTTGAATTGTACCTTAGACACAAGTTGCACACACTAAAAAGTAAAAATCCTGCTGAGATTCTCTATAGTGGCTTCTCCCCTGCTGTACGAGCCTGACGGATCCATGAGCCTGGCGCCAGGTGTCATATCTCTGGGTGTTAAATCAGCGCTGGCTCTGCCTGTGGGCGCTGCTGGAGTCAGGCGGGGACTGAGGGTTTCAAGCGCCTCTAGCCTCTGGTAAAAACATTTCAGAAACCTCAGGGCATTGTTGTTTCTGAGACAGCTCTAAGCAGATGGGGCCCAGGAGAACAGGCTGGGCTGCCAGCCTCAGACAGCTGCTCCCTGGGTGGTTTTTGTTCAGGCCTGTGTCACTGTGGTACCCACTATTATGCTGCAAACAGTAGTAAGTGGCGGCATCCTCAGGCTCCAGGCTGCTGATGGTGAGCGTGAAGTCTGTCCCAGACCCGCTGCCACTGAAGCGGGCTGGGATGCCATTGGGCCTCTTGGATGCCTCATAGATGAGGCGCCTGGGAGCCTGCCCAGGTTTCTGCTGGTACCAGGCTAACCAGTTGCTAACACTCTGACTGGCCCTGCAGGAGATCGTGGCCTTTTCTCCAGGAGACAATGATAGGGAGGCTGGAGTCTGTGTCATCACAGTTTCTCCAGAGGAACCTTAAGCAGAAAACAAAATAAGTAAGTCACACTTGTAATCTCTGTCCTCACCACTGTCTCCCCAGCACAGCCAGGCAGGCTGATCAGCACTGAGCTCCCATTATTGTCTCAAAGAGCCAGGACCTGGGAATCCACCATCCAAAGTGTCCTCTGAGGTGGACACAGCCTCCCGAGTCCCTCACCTGGGAGCCAGAGCAGCAGGAGGCAGAGAAGCTGCGCTGGGGCTTCCATGGTGCCTGTGTCCTGGCTGAAGCAGCTCTTGCCCAGAGCCTGCCCAGCCTGATATGGGCCCTGGGCAGCAGGGGGCTGGGGGCATGCAAAGCAGGGGTGGGCACCCTGGCCTCCAGCTGCACAGACCAGAGGCCTCATGTTCTCTGCACTTGAGCAGCCGCCCGCACGTTACAACCCAGAACACAGGGGGTGTCTGTTCCAAGCCTGGCAAAGCAAATCCCTTTCACCCCATTTTCACTTTGTATCCAGTTCATGTCCATCTCTCTTGGCCCATGACTGGGTGGGTTGTTTTGAGGAGTTTGTCAGCAATGATCGTCATGACACGCGTTTTTGCTGCTCATCAGTGACCTTTCCTGAGGGCCCTCAATTTTTCTCCTTCTTTGTGGGATCCATAAATACAGAAACACTGAGTTGGGCACAGGGACAGTCACCATCGCCCAGATGCACAGGACCATGCTCTGACCACATTTCCCTCAAGTCAGGGGATTTACTGACAGAGGGGTAGGGTGGGTGTATTCCTGGGGTCCTCTCATTCCATGCTGCCAGTCTGCCTGGAGAATCTCTCTCACCAGAAAACTCTTCACATTTTTAAAAACATATTTCACCCCATATGATAGATACATGTTGCCTGCACTGTGTACAGGGGTCCACATTTTGTAGAATCACAGACTTAATGAATCCGTCCCTTACATAGACCAGAATGACTGTTTACGTTTATGTGCAAACTGTCGGTGTCATTTCCATGACCGACACAACTGGGTGTTTGAGACACAGGAGCAGGGATGTGCTGACAGAGCCCTGGAAGGGCGGGGTGTCCTGAGGAGACCGGGGTGTCGGTGGGGCGCTGGGGTGGAGCTGCTGGGTGGTCACAGTCAGTCTGCCCCTCCCGGCTCCCCCCTGGTGCTCTCCCTGCTGCTCCAGGATCGCCGACTCCCGCAGAGTCCACCTCACGCCAGGGTCTCCCAGGACTCAGTTGTGCTGGAGTCACCTGCTGGGACCTGGGAGGGGCCGGCAGGGACAGAGTGTTGGGGAGAAATGTCAGACCCCTGTTGGGGCTGAGGCCTGAGGAGCTGGTAGGTTTCAGAGCTGCGAGCAGGAGCCCAGAGTGACCATGATGGGGGGATGCGACCACCAGCCCCCTCCCTGGGACTGTCAGAGCATGTGACAGCTAAGGGGTTATCCATGCTGGTCAACAGAGTTAAACTTGTTATTTATTTATTTATTTATTTTTTCAAGTTAACTCACATCAAGGAAATGTGTCTTTCTATTCCCACGTTCTTTGGGGCCACTGTCACCCCAAAAATGAAGCCGAGTCTCGTGCTGCTTATGTGGATTGTCGTGTAATTAGGTCTTTCATCGACTTGAGCTAATTTGCTTCTCTGCTATAACGCCTGGCTCTAGGTTTCTCTTTCCGTCCTCTGTCTCGCCCCCCCGCCCTTTTCCGTTGCTTCTACTCCTTTTTGCATGTGGTTGTCCCATTTTTCCAACACTATTTGCTGAGAAATCATATTTGCTCCATTTTATTTCCTTTTTTCCTTTGTCAAGATCAGTTGGTTCTTCTTTTCACGTGGAGTCCATTTTGGGGTCCCCATTTCTGCGTAACTGATCGCTCTGTTATTTTGCAACCCCATGCCGACTTCATGATTATGCTCTATAGTGAGTGTTAGAACAGGGGTCTGCATCCAGCTTTGACACATTCTCCCTCCTCTTGTTTCCAAACCCCAATTACTGGTCAAGGTATTTCATCATGTCATTGACCAACAATCATACTTTTCACCTCATATTCTCTTGAACAAATGTTGTCTGATTTACTTTCTTGTTAAGTAGAAAGTAATTCCATGTGCGTCTTTTCAACAATTGTCTTTCACTACAAATTTTGTTAAATGACTTCATGACAATTTTTTTTAGCTGTAATAAGCCTCCCCCAAATATAGATCATCTGATACTCATCACCCGTGTCCTGTCAGAAAGCAGATTCTCACTTAGTAAGCGGAGATTGGGACTGTGATTTCAACTTGTACCAATCAGCTTGTCAGTGACAATGATGATGTTGATGAATGCTGAACAAATTTTGAGCAGCTTGGTATTTTCACAGTGAGATCAGATATTCATCGTCCACATTTAGTTTTTTTCTATGAACAATGTGTTTTCATTCACTGTCAAGTGATTATTCTGTATTTCCCGCAATACCTAATTCTCTGTTTCCAATGTGCAGCATGTTGTTTGCTTCTATGAGCCACCTTGCTGATGGCAGCTGGGGGCTCACCCTGGAGTGTTAGGGGAGCTCCCCCTGACTGCAGTTATTCTGGTATTGGGAACAGCAGTTTACTGTGCTGCATGTTGTCAAGCCCTCACCGTCACACCAGAAACAGGTTCCAGTTCTTCATGGCTCAGTGATTATCCTGTCAGATGGTTTAGTGACGGGCCCCCCATGAGCCTGAGTAGGAGAGGGGGAGCCACACTGTCCCAGCAGCTCCTAGGGACAGACATGTACAGAGGAGAGAACAGCGGTGCCCTGGTGAGCTCACCCCGGAGGCTGAGGGCAGCTGCAGCCCCACCCCTGGCCTTCCAGGGCGACTAGAAAGGTCTGAGGCCCACGAGGTAAGCCAGCCTGTATGGCTGTGACAGGGGAGCTCAGACTTCTTGGCAACAACAGGCTCACTCATTTCCACCATCTGTATCTCTGGGTCTCACAGTCCTTAAAGTGTGAAAGGTTAGAGTTTACATTCTAAGTGCCTGTTCTGAGAAATAAAACCCTACCTGGATGCCAGGAGGGGCTTCTCCTCTGCTGCCTGAGCCTGACTGTGCCTTTGCCAGGTTCCCGGGTGTGACCTTCTGTGTGTGTTAAATAGCGTAGACTCTGCCTGTGGGGCCACTAGGGCGACGTGTGGAGAATGAGGCTTCCCAGGTGCCTCCTTGTCTCATTCACCTTAACTTTATAGTCATCTGCCATACTGCTTCTGCCATAGCTCACGGGACATCAGGAGGAGCAGCTGGGCTGCCGGGCCTCAGCATCTGCTCCCTGGGAGGTTTTTGTTCAGGTCTGTATCACTGAGGGAGAGGTTTTATAACCATACTAACAGTAGTAAGTGGCGGCATCCTCAGGCTCCAGGCTGCTGATGGTGAGCGTGAAGTCTGTCCCAGACCCGCTGCCGCTGAAGCGGGCTGGGATGCCATCGGGCCTGTTGTTTGCATCATAGATGAGGAGCCTGGGAGCCTGCCCAGGTACTAGGTTTAGCCTGCTGGTACTAGGCTAAACCACTATACATATACTCTCTGGCCCTGTATGAGACGGTGGCCCTTCTCCTTGAGACAATGGCAGGAAGGCTGAAGCCTGTGTCATCACAATTTCTCCAGCAGAAACTGAAATTGGAAATAAAACAATGAAGTCACACTTGTAATCTCTGTCCTCACCACTGTCTTCCCAAGACAGCCAAGAAGGCCGATCAGCACTGAGCTCCCATTATTGTCTCACTGAGGAAAGAGCCAGGTCCCGGGAATCCACCACCCAAAGTGTCCTCTGAGGGCAGCACCCTCCCGGGTCCTCTCACCTGGGAGCCAGAGCAGCAGGAGGCAGAGAAGCTGTGCTGGGGCTTCCATGGTGCCTGTGTCCTGGCTGAGGCAGCTCTTGCCCAGAGCCTGCCTTGGGCAGTAGGGGGCCCTGGGCAGCAAGGGCCTGGGGACATGCAAAGCAGGGGTGGGCACAGGGGCCTGCAGCTGCAGAGACCAGAGGCCTCCCTCCCTGTACACTTGAGCAGCCATACTCATAATATAACCCAGAACACATCGGGGCTGTCTGTTCGCAGCCTAAACAAATAGATGCCTCTGTCTTGTTGATCCCTGTGTCCCCCAATATGACTGTACATCTCCCTTGGTGCGTGAGTGGATTGAGGAGTGAGGAGTTTATCAGCAATGATTGCTGACACAACTTTCTCTGTTCATCCATGACCTTCATGGGGGACCCCAGATTTGCCTCATCCTTTGTAGGATCCATAAAGACACAAACTGAGTCATGTCCCGGGCCGTGGGTGCAGGGACAGTCACTGTCGCCCAGATGAGCAGGACCAAGCTGTGACCCCAGTGTACTCGCACCATCTCCCTGAAGCCTGGGGATGCTGCTGAGAGCCGCGGCATCTATGCTGGGGTGATCTGGCTGGTCCTACACTCCCTATTGTGCATGGAGCACCCTTCTCGCCAGATCCGGCTCCCTGTTCTTATACATTTAAGATTCTGTTCACAGGCCTGATGGCGACAGAACCCAACCAGTGATCCCCAGTATTTCTACAGTCGTGTACATGTGTGGGTGTCTGCTGGGCCCAAGTCATTCCTCGTCATCACTGATTAGAGTCCCTGTTACAGGCTATTCAAATTGCCCATCATCACAGTTTTCTCCCAATACCATATTGTACTTGAGCTAGTCCAAGAATTCCATAGTATGTGTCTGTTAAAAGGCAAAAATCTGGGCCCTCCCTGGTGGTGCATCTCGTTAAAGCATAGCACTGCAGATCCCTGGCCAGGCCCCAGAGCTGACCCACATGGCGTGGCAGACCTCTGTTATCTTGCCCGCTGCTCCCCTCAGCAGTGTGCTTCGTCGATCTGCCTGTTCTGCTCCCCACTGTCTCTGGTGAAGCCTCTCACTGCCCCTGTGTCTCTGGCCTCTACCCCAGCTCTGTATGCCCAAATAAATAAATCTCTAAAAAAAGAGAGAATCTTTAAAAAAACAGGCAAAAACCCAACCTTATTAACTTTATTTCTCTGATTGGTTTTATTAAAAGACTCATGAATCAGCCATCATCCCTTCTAGAGTGTGCACATGTGGTTCAAAAAATGACTCAGAATGGAAGGTTTTATAGCCAGGAAGACAGTGGGACAATTTAAAAAAAATAAATTAAGCAAAGCCACCTCCCTCAGCAGAAAGGAGGGGTCTTGCCAAGCAGGTGAGCCCCTCGAATGAGTCAGGAAGCTCTGACTGGCTAAACTGCCACTTTGGGGAGAGACTG